AATATTCTCACAGTTATAAGGCCAGTCAATTCGAAATAACAAAGAAGTTGGCCCACGAGGCAATGATTCAAAATACTCCACCATATAAATCTTTCACTCCCAACGAGATCGATCCCCACCAAAGCCTCACGAAGCTTGAATGCATGACCTAGCACATCTTCATTTCAATGACCACACCTCTCATCCACCATTCTTTTGCCTCGAATGGCCATCAAATATACACCGACGCCAATACTTTGATTGCGAGAGCACAGCTGACACTGTAACGCATGCCGGCAATGGAAGGTGCCGTGGTCCGCCTCCTGATGGCATTTTCTGGTGTAGTTTGAATAGCCTGGTGTAACGGCTAGTAAGCCGATAGATTGCCTGTGATATTCGGCACAGACATATTCATAGTGTCAGCGCTATGTTACGCTCGTATAGAAAGTTTGGGACCGCCCGTGCGCAAAAAAAAATTGTCAGCAATTAGCCCACACCTGGACAATGGAAGCCCGACTGGAGGACAGCTACTAGTGTTGGGAATATGGGGATAATATATATAAAAAAAGGCGTTAGATGTAGCTGTAGATCTGTTCTTCATCTGATAAACAAAATTATCTTTGAACATACAAACGCTCAAGCTTTACATACCACACACACACACACAATTTTTTGAAATTCGAATTTTCGAATAACCCCCTTTACCCCTTCTCTCTCCCTCTCGCGCTCGTCGCATCCCTTCAATAAATTGTAATCGAGTCACTGGCATTTTCGTCATGCCACCTGTTCGAAAAAAGCTCCCCAACTCAATGTTGGACAACGCGAGAGTCCGCCCGAGGGCTCCTGCAAAAACACCTGGCCTCGCGCAAAAATTATCAAGCCTATTTGCAAGTGAGGCCTTTGTCCCAGGGAAGTCCACAAATCTTCCCGATCAAGAGATGACTGATTCTGAACCGATCAGAGCAGAAAACAATGGTCCCAAGACCAAAACCCCCGTCGAACTGCCCCCTTTGGCAAGCAGTTCCAGGAAAGGAAAGGAGATCGTCAGAGAAAGGACGATCGAACGTGCAGAATCATCTGCAGGAAACAATGCTGTGCCAGCCTCTAAAGGCGCAGCATCGACATCAGCAATGGAGTTTCCACCAGAGCTGCAATCAGTGATGGAGGCCGAAAAGCGTCGCACGACGCAAATAAACGCCCGACTCGCAATCTGCTCGACTGCAATCAGCGGTGTCGAAGCAGCACTTTCGCCTCTTTCGATTGGCGATAATAAAGAATTTGTAGACGGAATCAAAGTCTATCTTCGAGCAGCCATCGGCCAGTTCGTACAATCTGGCCCAGGGAGCACACCACCAGCTCTCCCTGCTCGCCCCGCCAACCCTCTTCCGCCGAGGGCACCAGAAATAAGGGTTCCTAACCCTCCAACAATCCAGGCTCCGGCCCCAAAGACAACTTGGGCCACCGTAACTCGGGCAGGCCTAGTCAGTAGCGCTGGGTCATCGACAAAAAAGGCAGCACCACCCGCCCCCAAAGCAAAGAGTGCCAACTCGAGGACAAAAGCCGATTCACGACTTTTTCTGCGCCTTGACTACTTCCACCCCCACCGTCTCCTCTCTCCAGCTGGAGTAAGGCTAGCGGTGTCTCAGGCGCTGGGAACCGCTGCCAACAATATCACGTTGGTTCAGCGGGTAAAGACCGGCTTTGCAATAACTGCAAAGAATGAACTCGCTCGAACAGAGCTCCTAGATTCCTCCACATCACGGAGCGAATCTGGAATCAAACTGGAACCAGCATCAAATCTGGTTGCCATGCAAATTGCCACCGTCCCGGAGACAATTCGAACTCTTGCTGGCCCAATCGCCGTGACGGCAAAGATGGTTGCCGACGAAGTCACGCGAGTGAGCCAGTTGGTTCCCTTTCTGGTTCGTCGCCATGGGACTAGCAAACCAGGGGCGCCCTACTCAAATTGGCAAGCGCTATTTCCCCGAGAATCCGCTCCTCGACCTGGATTCCGCCTTTTCGACGACTCTGGAGCTGCAAAGCTCTTCCGACCTCGTCGCAAAATCGAACAATGCAAACGGTGTCTTGAATTTCACACCACCCGTGGTTGTTCCCGCGCTCCAGCTTGCTGGAATTGCGGATCTAATATGCACTCAGAATCAGAGTGCAAGGCCCTCACCCGGTGTCGAAACTGTGGGGGACCTCACCGATCGGATTCCCGGGCCTGCTTAGCAAGACCCAGCAAGTCCGGACCGGTGACAAAAGAGCAGCTCGCGCGGATCCGCCAGATCCAGCAAGGGTAGTTCGCGAAAGTGGCTCGATTTAGGGCTGCAGCCAAAAGGGCCAAAGAGGCAACGATGGCCTCAACGAAGGATGTCTCGATGGCCGAGGGATCGGGTTTCGGAATCCTGGAATCCGAAGAAGAAGTTTGAGGGTACAGCAACCCTCGGTGAAGTGTACAAAAAGCTTCAAAGTATATGGCAGGATACCAGCTGAATTCAGGGTATCTGCGAACTAGTCTTTCGCTCTCAGCGGAGATAAGAAAAAGTCACGTGGAAGATGTGGCAGGAAAGGGAACGGGCGAGAAGCGCGGGATCCGGACCAAACAGTATTTCTTCCAAATTTGATTTCAGTTTTTGATTTCAGTTTTGATTTATGTTTTTGATTTTAGTTTTGCTGTTAACTTCTACAATTTCAGTAGAAGTTCATGCGGTTGGAATGAGTTGGGCCTGTACGCAGTGATCCTTGCCGGCTCCACCGGTCCTTGACCCAATGTGGAAAAGATAGCGTTAGCTTAGGACCAAATGTAAAAAACAAACAAACAAGCTTTACATACCGGAACCGTTACGCCTGGGCACCAACTCCACTCGCGAAGGAGACACCTGAGACCACATTTCGTGCGGAGAAAATTCAGTGGATAATGGAGGCATTTCTGGATAACCCAGGTTTTTTGAAACGTTTCCCTGGGTGAGTATTCACGAATGAGTGCTGACTTCGAGTTAAGGAAGAGCCGCCATAACTTCGCAGTGCTTCTTGCAAATGAAATCTGAGGCATGACTGCTCTTCTTATATCTTGAGTCATCATTTCTATACTTTTTCTCGGATATTATGTCATGGATGAATAGCTGCACACGCAATTACAATCTAATGCAAAAAAAAGATTGGGCGTAAATACGGTGCAAGCTTAGGATGCGTTCATGGTGCGGGGTAAAAATTTTCTCATTCTACGCACACTGGTTGTGTGGTCATCTATGCTGGTATTATTTCATTGTAATAATTGGTGTTTGCATGCCTGCTTTACTCCTAGAGTGTGGGCATCTAAATTCTTGTTTTACATGTAACTTAGATCTTTAACAGAAGCGATATTCTTTGAGTTTTACTCCATGCTCTTCTTACTCTGAAATCGTATCATTTACCTCAGTGGTTTTTGTGAATAAAATCCAGAGTATGATTGTCTCAAACACCAAAAGATTTATCCAACATGAATAGATAGCATCTATCATGTTTCATAGCTCGATATTTGAATACAAGTTAAATGAGTTGAAAAAAGAAACCGACGAAGGAACTAGAAGAGTTTCCATGTGGATAAGACTGAGATTGAACCTCAGAGAAGGTGTCAGGAATGATATCCTTGGACTGGCAGCTGGAATCATATAGAAGTGAGCTGACCTAAGGGGGAAGAACTGATAATGCAACGAGTCTGTAAATATACCTGGGATAGTATTTAGAACTTGGGTCTCTATAGTTGAATTGTAAATATACCATCATTCATACAAGTGCTCATTCCTTCATATAGTTGGTCTATGACTGAATGCTAGTATTGGTTTAGCAGATAGTAATGATAGGTAACCAAGTCAGGCAGGATTAACTGATAAACATGATAACTAGGTACTCATAGTTTGTGAAGGGACGCGAGAACATTCAGATAGAGAGATACCCATTTTACAGTTTCAGTGTAAGATTGTACACTTCTTTTCAGCGCAATAGTGCTACAGCCCTGTTAATAGCTCTCTTGACTGACAGATTTTTCAGGTAACGACATTGCTAGATTGCAGATTTACCGAGGCTACGGGCTTTGGAGCCCTCAACTTTATGTCTTTTTGCGCTACGTCATTCTGTGTCAGGCGCAGGTTCACTAGGCGCAGGACTCGAGGCGTAGGAGAGGGCGTAGCGTACGATGTACTGAGGAAGGACGCCTCGTGGGAACGCGGAGAGCTTTCTAGAGAAGTGGTAAATGGGAAAGCGGGGAGTCGTTCTAGATAGAGGGGCCGGAGGTGACGGTTGGTCACTATGTTTGGCAGAGGACGAGAGTGAAATGTGATTAGAATAATGTAACTATTCCTAAAGACAGAAAACAAAGCGTGAAGATATCGGTCTCGGAAATGGAAACTAGATAGGTGCCCTCGCTAAGCAATAAAGACTAGTGGGATTAAACAAGGAACCCATAAATCCTGCCTGAGGCATTTCTCAAGAATCCTTACATTCTGAAAGGGTCAACCCAAAGTACAAGCCGAACGAGCCTTAAGGTGAAGAGAAATTATCACCAAAAATTATATGTAAATCCACGTATCCCTAAAGTCATTAGCTGATGGCGTTGTTTTATTTGTGGCCAGAGGAGCCAAGAATTAATTGCTATGCTGACCGTATGGAATTGACTAGGTTGGCCTATACGGAAATCAGTCCACTAAAATTAAAATCTATAAGCATGCGAAGGATTAAAAAGAAAGACTTGATTCATTTTACGATACGGTTGAAATCATCGCTTAAAAATCGCCTTGATTATAGTGGGCTCATGCCTACGTATCAAAGCATTAATTTTTTTTCGAATCCGGCTCTATTTGGAAAAACCTCAGGAGTTGAGAAGGCTAAGATCTTGTAAGGCAAGGGGTCATCATACTGTTCTCAATAGCTAAATTTCTCGACATACGACTCATCGCCCCAAAATAATGTGCGGAGGTTATGACACATGGTTCTCTAGACCTCTGCACATGAACCAAATGAAGAGAGGGCGCACTCTAACTTTAGGACCCTTTCCATTTGCCAAATTTCTGGTAATCTTTGTATATGCCCGCAAATATAGCCCGTCCACTAGAGTTTAACTCGGCACTTATCAATTTCCGCGTCTCTGGTGTTGTGGTATCTAGTACAGCGTAGAAGCCGGGTATCAACTTTTCCTTTATATTTGATAGCATTCGTAGCTCTAACTGCCATCGAATAAAGTCCATCAACACAAAACGCATGAAAAGCAGAGATGTTCGTTTCCAAGTATCCAAAGCTGGTGTCAAAATGTTGCGGTTTTTAACTTGCACGGAAGATGCGCTTGGGTCACTGATCAATGACAGAAGCCGGGTGTACGACTCTGCATGGCGAGATGAAAGTTGATGTTGAGGATTTGTCAGCCACACTGGCGTATTACTGAAGTCTGCTGCTGAAGATTGAAATATGTAAGTGCGATGATGTAGAGATGGTTGAAAGAGACACCGTAGAAGAGCTTGCATGGTTAACTGTAGTAAAGGGAAGTGGCCCTTTAATTTCAATCGGTGATGAACAAGAACGCTACGTAGAAGTTGGGTCAGGTGGAGGTATATTGTTCCTGCCCGAGAAGCCGGAAGAAGTGGAGATTGAGGCGAGCATAGAAGTGAAATCGACCCAAGGGTACTATCGATACAAAATTGTGAAATTGCACGGGTCTAAAGTAGGTTGATGTTAGCAAATAGAATTAATAACAGAAATATTGGCAAAGTGTATGCCGGAAGCAGTTTACCTTTGTCCGAAGCATTATATCTAGGGATTCGCTGATGATACAAAAAGATAAAAGATCTTGGCTTTTTCGTAACATAGTACATAAGTGAACATATACAGTTGTCAGATCAGACTCTATATGATCGCTAGAATTAGCAAGGTTAGTAGAAACATTGTCTATCTTTTTAATTTTAGTATCTAAATACTTTAGTAATTGTTCAAAATTGATATGGGGAGGCTTAACACCACCTTCGATTGATATGATTAAGTGTCTCACTGCGAGAAGTTTATCCGAGCCATTGCAGTCTTCCCTGGATGCCCTCAGTATATTGGAGAGAAATTTCAGCTTACTGTCGTTGTCTTCAAAACTAACGGCAGCTTCAGTGACCTGTTTTATTTCTTCTCGTCGCGAGCGTAGTGCAACGGTTCGCTGCCATTTTAGACCGAATTCTTCATGCTCATATCTTTTAGAGTAAATACACAAAAGAGTGTTAAGGCGCCTGCCAATATCCGATTCCGAGTTAAGAAGTTCCTGTGATTCAGATTCAATATCCGCCAACTGGTCAGCAGTGACTCCCAGTGCTATTAATGAATTTATAATTATAATTATACCTGCATCCTCGCCATTGGAGCTTTGATTAGTCTGAGCACAAGTTTTCTGGAAATTATTGAGTGAACTCTTCAATCGAATCAGGGTGTATTCTCGGAGATTTTGTGTTGTAGTCTCGAAGCCTTCTTTGCTTAAAATATCTTGTTGATCAAGAATACTAGATTTCTTACGTAGCTCAACAAGGGCAGCTTCAGCAACTGATATGAATGCATAGCTGAGATGATACCTTTTTTTTTCGTAAGCCTTTCCTATCCTTTTCCGGATGAGCGTGAATGCATCGACAAGGTAAGATTTATTTTGATTGTGATCGAGATTTTTGAATGCCTGCGTGAACATCAGGTGAACTAAGCCCCTCAACAGGGAAACATTGGTTTCCAGTTGGCGATAATCGGTCTCCATTATGGAATCGGCGATTTTTGTAAGGGTTTTAAACTTTAGACCTTTATATAATGCGGGATATCTTTCCATAATTCTATACTTTAGAGAAAGTAAAGCTGAATCTAGAGCCATGATCTGCCCAGACCATTGCACAATGATTCTCTTTTCACTTTTTTCAGGAAAGTGGGACAGTTCCATTATTCGCTCCCGATCGACCTTTTTGAGTATCTCAAAAGGAATTTGGCTTAGAGTCAGAATTGATAAGGCAGTCCTTTGTAAAATCTGCTCATTTTGGTTTCCAGAATTGTCATCCGTAGGAAGCATAACTTCAATAAGTAAGTCTAGCCATTTATTTCCATTAGCTATTGTCTTAGAGGCGCTGATATATAACAATACCTGTAAGTTCTTTACTGCTGATAATCTCGTCGCTTTGTAAGGCAGTAACCCATAAGTCTGAGTATGAGGCTGCCTCGAGTTCAACACATTCAGATAATCTGTCAATTGGACTAAACAAAACTTCAGATGCGAAATTAAACATTGAAATTAGCATAGCTCTGAAGCTATCTTTATACCCAATTGCGAGGCTAACAGGCAGTGAGCGAGAGCAATCTTCGAGAGAACAAGTACTTGCCTCAAACATTTTGGGTACTCGACAAAAACACATCTTACCAATGGAAGTAATGGACGGGAAACTGTCATATTCATGAAATTACTCTTAGGGCCATCATTGTTGTTGAGGTTTCCGACTTCATTTTGAAGCTCTTTGCCTAAGGGGAGCATACATGCGTCGTTGATTAGGCACCTAAGGTGATCCAAAACAATCGGTTTCATAAAATATTCCATAGCACTTCCGTTTGGAGATACACTGAAAGCAGCGCAAGCACTTCTGAAGATTTCAAGGGAGTCGGAAAGCACTGATAGCTTTTCATGATTAAAGATCAAGAGGCTGTCCAAATAAATTTGTTGACTAAATGGGTTTTCTTCGGTTTTCCAACGCTTTGCGAGTTCGTTTATGATAGTAAGGCTCGCCCAATTTAAAGTATAAGTCAATATACGCCAGGCACGCCACTTGTGACGGCTGTCCAGCCCTAAAAATCGCTTTTTGTCAAAAATTATGTGATAAGGCCGTAATGATATACTATCAACTATGCTCTCTTGGCCTGAAACTGATCCACAGATTGCCTCTAGTAGGATGCAAACAGCATCTGGGTGGTTATAGACTTCTTCAGATAGCCAGTCGATGATATGTAGGATCTGAGGAATGGTCAGTGAAGGCTCCAAGTATTTTCGAAGCTCCAGTTGAAGCACGCGGTCTTCCCATGCACTTTCTAGGGGAAAAGAAGCAGTTGTATTTTGCCTTCTTTTCTTTTCAAATGTTGAGAGTTGAAAAAACCAGTGTTTGATAAAATGCGAAAGACTCCTTGCTTTTGAGAATTCGTACATCAATGGCACAAGAATACGTGAAGCAATATTCTTTGATTCTTGGACACACGAGGTTTGGAATGAAGTTTTTGAAATTCTATCCCACAGAGTATCTAATAAATTGTTGTTCTCGACGGGTATCAGAAATAAATTAGCGTCTAGCGTGATAATTGTAGAAATTAGCTCCCAATCCTCTTCTCTCTCTGATAGCAATACTTCGTTTGTTATGGTTCGTATTAACTCCGAGTCAGGACTGATGTGGTAGTCTAAACACAATTGAAGTATTGAGTGCATGGTTTCACGAATTTTTGAGTCGAGGGTTTTCGGCATTGACATATACAAAGACTTGAACACCGTAAAAAGCCAATTCTCATCCTCGGCACTTCGCCTTCTATTGGCGTGAAAACGGACTGATCGAATAGAGATATCAAAAATTATTGCAGCATATGATATGTTAGAGCATATCGGGGCTCCAATCATAGATTCAAAGACACTCGGAGTTTTTTCCTTTGCGAATGCTGATTTTGAAGGGATGATGACATTTCGAGCCACCCAGAGTTCCAGTTCAGTAAGACAAGAATGATCCTGACCTTCTTTTCTGAGGGAATGGATAAGAGAGAGAACTGACTGGATACAGTTGGTGATAAGCGAACTCTCGTTACAATATCGTATTCTACTTGGAAAAACCTCTATAAATAGAGATAACCAGTCCTTCAATTTGTATTTATCTAGAACATTTGTGTAGTTAACTTTTTCGCACAAGCCCACCCACAACGCAAGAGTAAATGCAGCTTCTTCGTCAGAGGCAGTGTAAGTTTTTCGCATGTAGGCTGTTGAGTTAGTCTTGCTTAAGTTTGTGATCTTACTGCCCGCCTTAAACACTGCGCTCAAGGAAGAAAAAATAGCTTCCATTAACTCAGGGAGCAATTTCGGTTCCAAATTAGATACTTTTTGCTCTCTTGTTCGTTTCCTTTTTTTTGAAGAGGTCTTTTCAATCTTGTAGTCAGAGGTTCCGGAATTTTTGTTATCCAGACTGATAGTTTCAGTAGCTTCTAGAGCCTGCTGTAGGGCTACACATAGAATCGATATTTTCGTCCGATTAGTCTGAGTTTGGTCTGTCACAAATAATTCCTTACTGGTGAGGATTCGGGCAGCACTTCGCTGTGGTAGGGCTTCAATTAGGTATTTCAGTAGCCACCAAGAAGACGGGTTTGTCCTACACATCTTTAGCAATCCCTATTGGCGATACTGCTGTGGAAGATACCTTGCCAGTGGCTCGGCTTTCAAATTTTTCAGTAGCCATATTAAAGACCATTCTTCTCTTTTGTATGGTACAATGTTAATTAGTCTCTTAACTTTAGTCCTATCCTCAGCTAATCTCCCATTTTCTTCGATATCGAGACCAATTAATGTGGCGGCCTCCAAAATCTGTTCTTCAAATGGCGCGGATAGCTTCTCAAGGGTTTCGAGCTGCTCGTGAACCGTACGAGAACTTGTTACCTGTCGACTCGGAATATTTTAGCAACGAATTGATGAGTAGATTAAAGGATACAACTCACCATATTTTATTAATCTGGTGCGTACTGTATCTCTCACATTCGCGTGGGCGCGTTGAATGCAAATAATTTAGATCGGGGGTGGCTGGCTTGTTTAGCGGTATACCTAATTAGTCTGCGCGATTCAACTACCATCTTGGCGAAACTTGACAACCGCCATTCAAATATCCGTCGTTCTATCCACGCAGAAAATCTGTAAGCTGTTAAACTTCGTTGAAAAAAATGCTATACTCACTCGGGGTGCCAGGTACTCATCAAAATGACAGAGACAACTACTAGTCCAGTCATCGTTGCTCGATCTAGCAGGCCAGTCAGCGAGGCCCTATTGAATGAGAAGGTTCGTTTTTGCATCGACACACTTCGACCACCAAGACTTAATGCACCTCATTATTTCGAAACAAAAGACAATGGGCTAACCTAATTCATGTATAGTGGGATCGCTGCCTCTCTTCTTTGCTTATCCGCTCTTCCCTTGGTCTCGGCTTTGGCGTCGTCTTCTCGTTTTTGCTGTTCAAAAAGAGAGCATGGCCTGCCTTTGTCGGAATTGGATTTGGTGCTGGAAGAGCCTATGAAGAATGTAATAACACTTTTTTGAACACTAACAGAGAGGGCTTAAGGTCGTTGAAATATTGAGTCTTGCTGGTCAAAGACTTGCGTGAAGATGGATACCTCACAGGAGTCAGTGTAAGAACTTTTAAATCTTTAAATTAGGTCGAGTCAGCTCGATCACGAAAAAAGAGGAACTTATAGAACTACACAAAACAGAATTTCCTTAGAGCTGGAAGCTGACAGTGAAACGTCAAGACTCTATAGAATATGAAATAAATTTGACTCCATTTACAAAACAAAATTCTCGATTTATTGACGCAGTTAAGTGTGCCGAATGACGCTCATGACCCAGCAAGCATTATCAGGTGCTGGAAACATCTCTATTGTGCTGTACAACTTGAGTCTTTGCCTATCGAAGACATTGGGCTCCTTTCTGGCACAGGCCTCACATTTTACAGTGCTTTATCTCCTTTGGATACTTGAAAGACCTCTGGCATATTTCCTGTGATGAATAGCCATTCAGCTCAGTATTTACCCGTGGAATTCAGCCCCCTTTTCTACGGAAACTTCTACCTAAAAAAATAAAAAAAAGGCAGTAATGGAAACTGCTTGCGCGGGAAAAAGTCTTAAAAACCCTGCAGTCCTAGCCAGGCGAGGCCTAGACACCGGGACCACATGACGTACGCATATTCATCTACATCTCCCTTCTTTGTAACAGTCGAGGCCGACTTGATCCAAACCACCATCGCCATACCGGGTGCTGGGTACGCTCTGGAAACTCATCGGGTGGCTTTTCCTGCGTGATCAAGGTTTGGTGATGAGTAGGGCTCCGATCCTACCATCTGATCTGATCGTGGTTAGCTTCATGATAATGGTGATAGGGAGATGTGTTGAGAGATGAAGGCGATACAGACCGCGCAAGCGATTGGGAATCCTCATCGAGGTGGGGACGATGTTACTTAATCTCGGCTCTGCAAACTCTAGACCGCCCTCGACGGTAACCAAAGCGAAATTTTGACCAGTTTTGTGGCCCAGGAAGCGTCCTCTAGCTTGATTACTTCCCCGAATGATAGTAAGCTGGGAAGGTAAGTTCGAGACAGAAAATATATGAAAATTTTCCAAATCTGCACGTTCAGGTATGGTTTTTTCCTTCTCATAACAGATTTTAACAAGTAAAGATAGCTGGATATAGTCCGAGCACTTGCTATTATTTCAAAAGTGCAGACATGTAAAGGTTTTTGAGTCCAACAAGTGTATCATATTTCTGGGAGAGTTAACTTTTACTTGATTTGAAAACCAAGACAATGGTGCTCAAACCATGGTTAATCATAAATATTATCTTTACTTTGGTAGCAAGCTTAAGATCTATATTCTTACTAAAATGAAAACCTTATTAGTTATGAAGATATTCAGAGATGACTTAAAGTACAATACCTGATTCAGGGTCACGCTATCTCGATTATCAAGTTACATCTCTAAAAATCAGAGGGTATTATCTATTATTTTCTCGGCAATAAATCCTGGGTGCTGGAGTTCCCTCTCTCTTGGGACCCGTCTTTATATAGACGTATATCTACCTGGTTAGGCACGAAACAGTATCCACTCCGCCTCCTATTTTGCAAGCCCCAGCTTTCACAGTAATTATCGACATTAGCTTGCCTTCCACTTCCTTGACATAATCTATTGGTCTCTTCCCCATCGTAATCGCCTTTCATTTTGTCGTCGTACCCGCGCTGCATATCTTCATACAAAACTCCCCGCCTCCCCTCTGCATATATTGAAGGCACGTTATCTCTCTCCCAAGGCTGCCGGCTCCTCGCTGGCTCTGATTGTCGTCTGGCAGTATCCGTCGAGCGAATTCTCAACTGGTCTAGCGTTTGGCCTGCACTGATACCCAATTTCTCAAAGAGCTCCGGTATCTTTTCGGCACTTTCTTCCAACTGCTTGAATCTCCTTCCAAGCAGAGAATCATCACCATTATCGTCGGAAATTCCAGTCACTAAGTATCTTGAGAAGATCCATACAATACGGCAGATAAGACTCGATAAAATGCTGATGAATATGACAAGAAGAATGAGCTCAAATAGCGTAACGTGCAAGTCTATTCTGTCTTTGTTAGATGACAAAGCACCGATTAACAATTGGGTGCGTGTATAAGGCTTCTGATCAAGCATCTCAATTTGGTGGTAATCGGGGACCACTCTATGGCGGAAATGTGCAGCCATTTTCTAGTAGGAGACAAAAGTTTTTACAGAGATATTGTTAGTATCGGGAGCTTTAAAGAGAAGCAGGAACCAAAAATTTTAGATCTTAATTAATCACAAAGCTAGTAGTACGGATGTTGAATAGTAATCAAGAATGATAAAGATGAATATCGGGATAAGATCACAGTATAACCAGTCACAGAGCAGTTTTAGGCGATCTCAGGTGCCAGTGGTGATTGCCTAGACTGTCAACTGTATTGAATCATACATTCAGCCTCAGCTGAAAGATAAAGATTGTCACCTGGCACATGAAGTGATTGGGACCATCAGGACACTGTGGTAAAGGATTTGTTGATCAAAAGTGACGTGCCTACTATTATATGTGTTAAGTCAGAGAGATGCACCTGATGATAAAACTTCCTACAACACTAAAATTACCTGTATACAGGTGTAACACCATGATGAATTCTGTCATCAGAGAATCTGATCTCCTTGTGTAGATGAAACCATGACACTCTGTCAGCATTACCTTCTGTATAATCTATGTATGTGAAGATAACCATATCATATGTATGTACGTAGGTGTGTGGGTTTATTGTGGTACTTGCGTCTGTGTCTATCTCGCACATTAGGCTTCTCTCTGGCGCGGACCACACCTTTTACGTTGCTCCTATCCTCTTTTGATACTTGAAAGATCTCTGGCATATTCTCTTTGATGAATAGCCCTTCAGCCCCCTTGTCCACGGAACCTTCTATCCAAAAAAAATGGTAGCAATGGAAACTGCGTGCGCGGGAAAAAGTCTCAGAAAACCTGCAGCCCCAGCCAGGCGAGGCCTAGACATCGGGACCACATGAGGCGCGCGTATTCATCTATATCTTCCTTCTTTCTAACAGTCAAGGCCAACTTGATCCAGTCCACCATCGCCGTATCGGGTGCTGGGTACGCTCTGGAAACTCATCGGATGGCTTTTCCTCCATGATCAAGGGTGGGTGATGAGTAGGGCTCCGATCCTACCATCTGATCTGATCGTGGTTGGCTTCATGATGATAGCTCTAGGTGGCTGTGCTGAGAGACGAAGATGATACAGAACGCTGAGCGATTGGGAATCTTCATCGAGGTGAGGACGTTGGTACCTAATCTCGGCTCTGCTAAATCCACAGTGAGAGCTGGAGGTTCGCAGGGGAAACCCCTGACAGTTGTTGAATTTCGTCCACCTGTACATAAAGTTACACAGTAGGATTACCATTCCCTATTATTCCCTACACTATTCAGTTGTGGAATAATAATCAATCATTTGGTCATGATTGTGACTATACGAAGATTATACGGCCACATATAGTTATACTTTTTCCCTGCACCGAATTATTTTGTAATTTGATTTTAATTTTGATTTTGATTTTGATTTCAATTAACCCGATCAGGCACCCTATGGGTCCATGCAGGTGACTATCTGCATTATTTACAAAGGAGGAAACCAATTTAGTGAAAACCCCCTGATCCTGACTATTTATATTACTATCAATTTGTTTAGTTTACCTTCAGGAAGTACAGCTTACACTGTTCAGCCAGTGTGGATTCCGTCCTCTCCCCTTCCAGATCTATTTACTTTATCCGACATTGCTACCTCGACTTCTCCTCCAAGTCGAAACTGTTTTATCCACCCTTTGCATAGTATCCACTGTGTAATTCTGGCCATGTCTTCTGGGCTATTCATCATGGCTTCAAATGACCTGTCTTTAGCTTGTCGGAGAAAGTCGCCTCTTCCATTTGCCCACTGCGGACACGCCAACACCATATGCTTGACGTTTTGCGAAGGATATCCACATTGACAGCTTGGATTTTCTTCTCCCGGTAATTTTCTTCTGCTCAGGTAAGAATTGATTCCGATATGCTCGCTCCTTAGCTGAATGGCGACACTGCTTTGGGCCTTGGTTAGGTTACGGTGGATTCTCAAGGGGGTATCTTTGAAGTTCATTTTGACGCTGCCTGTTTGCTTATCGGTAAATATATTTGCCGCTTTCCAATGTTCTGGATCGGCTGATGCTGGTCGGCCAGGGCGGTGTTTCCTGATCTGGCTTGTCCATGAATCCTTCCACTCCTGAAAGGCCGCTATCTTTCCAGCTTCTTTCTGCCTTCTCTTATCCTTTTCCCTATTAGTTTGTAATTGTTAACAAGGAAATTTTAGTCAATCATACAGTTGTATGACAATATATAGTATGGGTAGACCTGAACACTCGTCACTTGCATCGTCGATGAACCTGGGTATGAAATTCCCCCTCAGGTTCTAGATTCAATTACGACATAGGGCGTATCTGAGAGTTTCCGTCAATATGACGGTTGAAGGGATTATCGTTGATAATATTGAATCAAATATCTTACTTGCGGAGATTTTACAGCCGCAAATCCTATCTGAATTAAATACACACTACCCAAATACGAACCCTAGACAGAATCAGACCCTTCTGATGTTCGAAATAAAACAACTTACAAACTTCACCATCCCACGTTTTTCTTGAGTGTACTTCAAAGGTAAACTCGTCTCGGGACTTCTCCCAAATCATCCTTCGACCTACTGTGGTATTTGAAAATCCAGAAGTCAGTATCAAAGCTTGAGAAATAGGAGATTTTCCATCTTTCCGCATTTCTAGTGCGCTGTGAAGGTGTGATCAAATTACTGGTCTTATTTTAATGTACAAATCGACCAAGGACATCAACGATTCGACCCGCGACAATTATCACTGGCAAAATAAATACGGCGTTTCGCTGGCATATCAACCAGAGTATTCGGTAGAGGCCAAGGCATGGTTACCTCTATCTTGAGCTTTAAGATGGACCTTCGATTTGCATGGCTGAGGTTACGGCTGGAGCGAGTCAAGACT